CTCTGACGGAGGGGGAGGGGCCTGATGACATGTACCCAGAACCCCCCGCGACACTGTTTTGCATCATCAGGCATTGGGATCTCAACCCAGAATTCCAATGGGCGGCGGAGACTGCGGGAACTGTGGGATAGCTACCCACAGTGCAACGCTCCGGAAGTCGACGCTAGCCTCGGTACTGTGGACGTGGTCCGCCGACTTCATGCACTTAGAGCATTTTATGTGGGGACACACACAATCGACTGTATAAAACCGATATCTATAAAACCAGCTTCTATAAATTCGACCTAATTTCGTAGTGTAGACATACCCCTAGATAAATTCATGGAGGTTAAGTTCATTAATGGCTATTAGCCAGGATGGGTAAAGAATGGTGTCCCTAGCCTCTGTTTGACACCTGGCATTGGTCACTGTCGGTAGATAGGATACTGGGCTGGATGGACCTTTGGTCTGACCCAGTATGGCCGTTCTCATGTTTCTAAATGTCTTATTTCTTTCTAATCACTCATCTTTACATTGATTTTTTGCATGGATAGGTGTTTGTGTCTTACACTTCAAATAATGATGCTGAGGGCTGCAGCAAGGGTTATGGAGACAGAGCCAACCGCTTTTTGTACGTAAGAGGCTGAACAGAGAAAATTGTCTTCCTGTCTGTTGAGGAGCATCTCTAAAGAGAGTGCTGTCTATGCCATCCTTCTCCAGGGATGCTCTTGAGACTGTGTTGACACCTTTGTGAGTTTGTCCAAGACTGCAGAAAAACATCAGCAATATCTGGGCACGTAATGTTTAACAGCCCTAAGATGGGGCAGGATGTAAAACAAGGGAAACTGGGGTCCTCAAGGCACAAGAGCAGATAAGGATATCTACCCATCCCCAAATATAAAATATAGACCTAATTTTACTGTAGGACATCTAGAGCATAGAAATGGGGTTTGCTTTAGTGGCTAGAGTATGGGACTCAGAATCAGGGCAGCTAAATTTTAATCGTAGCTCTGCCACGAACTCCCTCTGTAGCCTGGGGCAAGTAACTTTACCCCAAACTTGAGATTCCCCATCTCCACAATGGGGATAATAAATAATATTTACCTCTCCTACAGGAACATTGTGAGGACTGATTAAAGTTAATGCTGGCAAAGTGGCTTGAAGATTAAAATTGATCAGTTGCTATTATACCTCAGAAGGGAGCAGTCTGTTTTCCTCTTCATTTTTTACAACTCCAGATTTCCAATCAGATGACTAACAGCATAGGTAGCCAGAGTACAGACCAAAGATAGGCTACAGGGTCTACTTGTTGCTACCCTCACCTTCAATACAGGGCTCTCTCTTTGGATCAAGATAGACCATGGCAAATCCAATGTTGACAGGGAACACATCTCCTTGTCAAAGATAAGGATGCTTACAAATCACTGGCTCCTGGCAAGTTGCAAAACATCCCTGAGTTGGGCTGAATTTGGGCTGTCCCCAACTTTCAACCTAAGAATTAGCACTGGCCAAGACTTTGGGCTTGGGGCATATTAGTCTTTCACACACCTTTCTTCTTCAAAGTCCCCGTGGGAGTGCTGTGGAGTTGTATGAAAACTCCAAAGCCTGTTTGGATGTGAGCATGCAAGTCACATGACTTTTCTCACTCTGCCGTTACATTGAAAGTCTTTTTTTTTTCTTTGCTATGTTGTTTGGACTGTAATGATCTAAACAGCAAAGCATGTGTTTTGGTGTATTCGTGCCCAACTAGACACTGGGCACTCTGTTCTCTTCCTCTATGTTCTTCTTGGACAGAAGAGCAGGATTCTATATAATTTTTTTTGCAAGAGATTTGCTTCTGGTAGAGGCTTTATAGAAGCGGTGTGTTTTACACCTTGAACTGAACATCAGGTTTGGACATAATCTGTTCTCTTCTGGCAAATAGTTCCTTAGCCAGGGTCCCACTTGTGTTCTCTGCAGCTGATAGATGGAGCCAGGGTCTGTCCAGCTGCATCAGCGCTGTGTAATGTAGCTTTCCTGGAGAATCATGGAAGGTAAATCCTCTCTGAATTAGCTAGATTCCAATTCTACTTGTATTAGAGTCGAGATTTAGAACTCAGCTGTGAAGTAATGGAGCTAGTGGAATTTGCGCAGCTCACGTGTGAGATGTTTGCACTGGCTTCTGTTGCTGATGAGGGGCGGTTGTAGCATAAACTGGCATGGGCACTGCCTGTTCTATATCTGCTCAGGGTACTGAAAGAGGTGTTCGCTGTAACCTTTCAATCCAGCATCTTTCACCAGCACTGAGATCTCTTTAGCAGAACAACAGAGGAAGCACATACTGTTGTGGGCAATGTACAAGGAAAGATGGGGTTTTGCTTTACTTCTATGCTGAATGGTCGTTTTGTATGATTATTTGCAATGGGGCTGCTGTTTATTTCTAAATATTTATCCAGCAGTCCTAGAATGATCAGATAGGGCGTCTTCTCTCATTGTATAATTCAAAATCAATAAAGGTACTATTGACAACTGGTCCATGCCTGGGGCTCATAGGATGCTACAATAATACAGACAAAAATAAAACCAAATTAAAGTGTGAATGTTTCATCAACCTTGAAATTCTTTAGCAAAAAGATAACTAGGATTCGCTGAGTTAAATCTGCTAATCAATTACTTGACTTATGTCCTCGAAGAAGCAGCTCCAGTATTCAGTAAATAATATTCAGTTTTATAACTTTCCAGGAACAATTCCTTTTGAAAAGAAAAAAAATCAAGGGCACAAAATTCAAGCACTAGTGTTTAAAAGCAATCTTCAGATTATGACACAAACACTGCCAGGAAGTTTAGACCTAACACTGACCTTATCATTAAGGCATTCCCAGGAGACATATTCTGTGTTGATTTTCACAATAGCCTTTACTGTGGAGTTGTTGGACTTTGCTGAGTTTTGTCACTATTTCAGCAATACTTGACTATGGGGTTTTAAGAATTTAGTGCAAGAGTTGACTGTTGTAGATTGAGAGCCATGGTTGTTTTTAAATAGAGTTCTTTATTGAGTTGGGGTTTTTTTTACTAGCAAGGACAGTAATCTCTTTTTCTTTTTCTTTGTGGTATCTTGCAAAATATTTCACCAATGTAACATATATCTAAGACTTAGCTTTGTATGAAGAACTCCTTAGGAGCACCCTGAAACTTACACCAAACAATTTTGCATTTGTTTAAAACAAAAATTAAGTGAATATTGTTCTCATGAAATTGAGGGGCTGATAGGGCTGCCTTGAGCAAAGCATAGTGCAGGCTTCTGAAATTCCTCCCTGCCCATGTCCCTCAGTCCTGACCCAGAGCAGTCCATGCTATTCCTGTCCTTGACCCCCTACAGAGCTGTGCCAATGAACCTCAGAGCCGCCTGCCCACTCCCCAGTTGTCTCTAATGTCATGAGAGTTTCACATTGTGGTAGGATTTGAAATGGAATGAGAACATCAGACTCACTTTCCCTTTTTACCTGTTTGAGATTTAAAGCTGGATCTTCCAAAGTTAAAGGCCACAGCACTAATCTGGTCTTAGAGACCAGTGCACAGCTTTATATGTCTCCTTCTCCTTTGTATTTAAAGCTTTCCAACTCATCCATAAGTTCTAATCCCTTCCCCACTGCATTCCCTGGTCAGTCTGACTGAAACCAGCAGGTTGCCAGGGTGTGACTTGGAGGTTTTGGCCCAAGATAGTTAGCAAATGTTTTGGTTTGGAAAAACATGAGTTTGGATTTGTATTTGAGGGCCTGGGCAGGCTTTGGTGGGTGTTTATTAATTGTCAGTTTTATTTTTTTATGTTTCACACCAGAAGCTAGGTTACTAATCGTGACCAAAAGCCATTCCGTTTCTAAGGGCTCTTTAATAACTGTGTAGTGAGCTGGTGTACATCACCATTAACACCCTGGCTGGTGGGGAAGCTGAGGTTTGAAGTGGAATGGAAAATTAATTCTTCTCTAAGTCTTTGAGGTGGCCCATGTAGGTCAGGGTGCTGAGGCAGTGGGGGAGATACTTGGGCTGACACTTCCTTTGCATTACCAGTTCTGGGCATAAATAGAGGTCTTCATTTTCCCAAGCAGTAAATCCATCATCATCAAAAAGAGGGAAGAAAGACTTCCCTTTTCAATTAGATGACAGATTTAACAGGATGACATAAACCAAACAGCATGGGCAGTGAAGGCTCCAGTTCAGTAAAGTACCCAGGGCCGGTGCAAGGAAGTTTCGTGTCCTAGGCAAAACTTCCACCTTGCGCCCCTCCCCCCC